TTTTTTTTTCGTTCCAGCCTCCGCGCGGCGCGACCATAAGAAGAAGACAAAACTGCCTGTTTGGAACAGGCACCATGTGTATAACGCGGGCCACTGTTATTATTGCCGTTTTGAACTATGGTCGGGACGGACCTGCGGACGACTGTTTTTTTTGCCCATTCAAAACGTGGGTTGTGACCCACCAGCCGTTGCCCCAAAATAAAGAGAAAAGCTGTTTCTAACGTTTTTTGGACCAGGGGTCTAGTCCCACCTACAGCGTTGAGTTTTCTCAACGCCGCGCTTTCTATCACGTGTGGCATGGTGGGACGGAGCTCTGCCGTTGATGTATTGCGAATCTAACGGTACCAAAATACAGGAGAATAACCTATTAGATTTAGTCATTTTCTAGAATTTCTCTTTGACGTGAAATCCGTTTTGTAGTATGCGTTGGCCCTTTTGGTTTGGGCGGGAAGCCATTTTCCATTGAGAAAACTACCCTGCCGAGGGTAGGGTACATTTCTCAACGGCAGTGCCTTTCCTTTTTTTTGTTTTTTAAGACCTCATTGCATCCTGAAACGGAGGAACTCTGACAGCTGTGTTTGGCTGTCTGTCATCAAACACGTTTCCTTCTTTGGGCAATGAATGCATTTGGCCATCCGCGTCGTCCCTGTCCATTTTACAGACGGTGACCTCCTGTCCCCTCACCACGGGGAGTATCCCTTTTTCACGGAGACTTTCACTCCGACTGTTCCAGACATGTTTCATTTCTCCGAGTTACATTATAAAAAATAAGGAGAGAAGCTGTTTCTAGCGTTTTTTTTAGTTTTTTAATTTCTTGTTTTGAATTTAAAAATAAGGAGAAAAGCTGTTTCTAGCGTTTTTTTTAGTTTTTTAATTTCTTGTTTTGAATTTATTAATGTCGAAATGGCGTCACACCGTTGGGTTTTCTAAACTCAACACCGTTAGGTGGGACCAGACCCCAGGGCCGGCCCCTTCACCTGTAGTCGTAGAAATATTGGACTTGTTTTACGGTAGGTACCCGAGCCGGGGGGATGTTCGAGCCGCTGCACTCAGTGATGTACGGCAAAAAACCGGACTCGAGTACCACGACTTTTGTTTGGACCTTTACAGCTACCGTTCGGCCCAACGTGTTTCATTTGGCTTGCTTGGTTTAGGACTCGATCTCTAGTATTGTAGTAACCTGGTAGCCGTCGCCAGGACTTAGGGGTGGTGTGGTGTGGTTTTGAAGGGTAGAGCATCAGAGCCGCAGTGATTATTCCGTGACGCACTGGTTAAATAGCTGGATCAAGAAAGTGAGAATTCTCTCTAACCGGATGACGTCGGCGCGACTGGGGGAATGGATTGTGGGAAAGGGGATGGGTCGTCTCTGACGACGATGGCAGTCGTGCCTCTCATCACTCATCATGCGCTTCAAGTGACCACTGTTAACAGCCACGTGTTAACGTGAGTCTGTCTTATAATTAAGATGCTTTGATGAATCTACAGCGTGTATGGCCTCTGGCCGAGTGTGCTGTTGACTGCGTGTTTGGCAGTTCTCTGAATCCTATCATCCAAGGTCGTAACCATCTRGGAGATCGTACCTAGCGGAGGTGGCGGCTTATAGTAAGAAGCGTTCGTTGGTAGCTCAAGACGAAGATTCGGTGTGAAGATTGTACTAGCTAGAGGACTATCGGATGTTGAGGGGTTTATCTTCGATATCTCATGAGTGACGGAGTTGATTCAAGAAGAAACATGGAAGGTGGAGGTGGTGGCGGTTTGCCGCCAGACAATCGGAAGTGTTATGAATGCGGCGAAGGTGGTCTTCATACGTGACTGTGCTGAGTTTTGGCAGGTGAAAGCTCTCGGGCGTGCCTTCGTTCCGTCTGCACAAACGGTTAACCCGACTCGCACGGGTAGACCCGCGGTGACTAGTACAAGTATTGCTGCTCAGAGGAGCCGGTCGGCTGAATGTGGGAGTGAGAGGGGCGAGACGGGAGACGATACGAATGCGCTCATGAGCGAATACTTTCTGCAAATGGCGGAGGAACGTAGAAACCGTGTTGAGCGTGAAGCCGAGGAGGAAAGACGTCGTAAAGACGAAGAACTCAGGCAAGAGCGAGAGAACAAAAGGTTGCTTTGCCAGGAGGAAAGACAAAGGCTAGAAGCGGAGCGTGATGCGCGTTTGCTACGGATTATTCGTAGTGAAATGCGCAAGGACCGGGACGAAGAGAGGGAAAGGTATGAAAGGAGAGGGAAAGGCGTGGTCAAAGCTGGTTGTCGAATTGAATCAATAGAGGATGAAAAAGAGTGGCTACGCCGGCTGATTGCACCGAAGGCAATCGGTAATACCGAGGAAGAAGTTGATGATGAGTTGTTGGCATTACGCGCGTTGGCGGCTAAGTTGAATTTGACGGAGAAGGGAAACGTGGTCCTGATTTACCTGTTGGTAACAGTCCACCTATAGTCACAACGGAGAAGAAGTCAAATATGAAGTTGTCGGGGGAGTCCATGGCGCGAATTGAGTTGTTGAAAAGTGAGCTAGGCGCAGATGCCGGGACTTCGTGTACGCCAAAGAAGATTGATCTTTCACTCAAACATATCATGGCGTCGTGCGGCCCAGGAGGAAAGGAGAAATTTGAGAAGGAATGTTCGGACTTCTATGATGCGTTGACCACTGAGGAACTCAAGGAGGCTTGCCGGCACGAGAAAGTTGCCTATGGAAACCGCGAGCTGGCCATAAAGCGTTTGGTGATTCGGCGATCGTCGGTCGCCTACGATCCTTCGGTTATTCCGCTTCCACTCCATGGATGTAGACAAGGGGCGCTAAAGGCATCACGATCAAGGAAGTCAAGGAAGAAAGGGGGTCGGATCATTCTGACTCCGGGCAATCGTACTCTGACGAGGAATCTGAGCGAGGTGCTGGTCGTTGCGACGACTATTTGGAGGTGGTCGAACGGCTTTGTGATCGTGGACTACATAATAAGGGTAAGTGTAGGACTGATGAGGGGACACTTCGGGCTGCTACGATTGGATTGGCTTTGAGTGGGAAGTTGAAATGGGGTGAAAATTTCGTGAATTACTGGTTGGACGAGATAGAGAAAGGGAAGTTTGACTTGTCGGAGCCACGAAGTTGTGTTTATTTGCTGATCTCGCCCTAGTACAAGCAAACTTACATAGGCATGACGGAGCGCGGGCTTTGGGCACGATGGCGAGAGCACTTTAGCCAAGGAAGGAGGGGGACTAAGCGGAGATGGCAGTTATATAACTGGCTGGGGAAGGTCGGGGCTCACCGGTACGTAGCACTACCAATATTCATGAGCGAAGATCGTTCAGAATTAGAGGTTGTTAAGGCGACCCTGATCAAGCATTGGTCACCTTCGCTGAATGTTCAATTGGTTAAATCAAAGAAAACACCTAAGAAATCCAAGCGTAGGCCAGGTAGAAGGGAGAGGACGAAATGGAAAGGTGATGCTGGCAGTAGGGTAAGAGAGTATCATAATGACACCGGGAGAATCTTGGAGGTACGCCTTGAAGGAAAAACTTAAGGCACTGTAAAGGTTGTGGAAACGTTACGAAGCTTGATCAAACGAAAAGGGGAGGTTGTACTCTATTGTAATGGCGGAAGAACTTGGGTGGATGGCTGGCGAGTGGTGCGGAGGTTGTTCGGAGAGACTAGGGTAAAATTTGGAAGAGGAACGCGACCTCTACGACGGTGCAAGAAGTGCTTTGAAACTGAAGGAAGAATCGTCCTCCGAAGAATTACGGAGGCCTCACCTGCCGCGCTGACACTCAGGGATGAGATGGTCGGGATGTTCAAGAACCAACGAAAATTGAAGAATCTTCAAACCAAGAGTTTGGTCGAGTTCGCAAGGTACTATAGTGTTGTCAAGATTTTCACAACAAAGAGAAGCAGATCCAAGGCGAGAACGATGATTTCCAAGGCCGTCCGTGATAATTTTGGAGTAAACATCCGAACGAGAATCATTGTGAAGACTCAGTATGATGAGTGAAGGAAATGATAAAGCGTAGAGCACGTGTTGTATGGAAGAGATGTCCAAATGTGGGCGATATTCTCCACAACCATCGCCAATTTGCAGTGATGCGTGTATCCAGCTGCCCCTCTGCTGGATTGCCCTACCCGAAGAGGAATGGGCACGTACATTTCCGAATCAGTGAGCTCGACAGCGTACCGCGGATAGCTCGAAACGCGAAGAATGTCCCTAGATGCGAGGTTAGCAAGAGAGATGTCTTACTCTGTACGGAACTGACTGAGGCTTTTTGGACATGGAGAAGTACTTCGAAGTTGTACGGCGAAATTGTTTCCTTTTCGGCGGTAGATGTTAGGGACTGTTTCATCAATGACGTTAGCCAGAGTTACAAGAATGGGCTGGAGAAAGTACAGGCCCTGCAGAGGAAGCTGACTGGTACTAACCCCGTTGGACAGAAACCCGGGGGAGACTCTAGTTTTATGCCCGCGTCTATATGACAAGGGCATGGAAGAGGCGTTCCTGACAAGTGATTGCTATTGGGTATGCAGTGAGCAGGAGGACCATCTTCTTGCGGAAGTCGAGCGTGCTTATGGCTTGCGAGGGCTTTCCTGTCAGGGAAAATGGAACTCTAACGGAAGTATTGGGAGTGCTTATGCACTACCTAAGTATAAAGATACGGAGAAATACCGTCCTATATGTCCCACTTTCAACGAACCTTCCGTTAAGACATGTAAAGTCATAGCCAAAGGAATCAATTGCTTGTTCTTCTCCCTCCCTGAGTTGAGTCATTTTAACCTGAGATTCGTTTCGCGAATGAAGGAAAAACTTGGTAGTATTAATAATCGATTAGGGAGAAGCAGAAAGAATGTGAGGGTTATCGGGGTATCTTATGACATTAAGGATATGTTTAGTTGCCTCCCTCATGCGACGATTAGGATGGCAATTGAATGGGTTGTGTAGTGGTTCTCAGAAAAGGGATACGAAGGCGTTTTTGTTAGGAAAAGGGGGCGGGAAGCTCGCTTGAGTAAGAATCAACATATCGATGGTTTTACTTTTGTATCTTTTAAGTATCTGATCGATTTTGTGGCCTTTGAACTAGATTTTTGCTACACCAAGTCATGCGGAGTGCTGATTCAGCAGGTTATTCGCATACCGATGGGCAAGAGCTCTACCCCTCCTTTGGCATGCCTTATGTGTGCGAAACATGAGTGGGATTTCCTCATCTCCCTGGGTAGCGATAAGATTATTTGCCGGACTGCGATTTGTAGATGACGTATCCATCTTTGCGGCCTATAATCAGAAGAAACCAGGGGACAAAGCACGAGCTGAAGAATGTCTGAAACAGTTTGAAAGCTGCTATGATCGCGCATTGACTCTGAAACGGACTGACGAGGGGAATGATCACTGAAACTCCTTAGGTTGTAGATTGCATATCAGCCAGGTTTTCCCCTTTCTTGGCACCGTACAGACAATGAAGAATGACCGGCAATTACGGAAGGATGAGGAACTTCCCTTTCGTACTTTCCAGGACTTCGATTCTTGGAATTGTAAACGGACGAAGATGGTCGTGATAATGAGCGCACTTCATAGTATAGATCAGAATTCATGTATGGAAATGGAACTTCTGGACACACTGGTCCTATTGAGAACTGAACTCCGGAAAGGGAACTACCCACGACATTGGTTCAGAATGGTATTACGGAATTTCAATCGGGGCAAGAGTCCCATTTGGCGACTTTTTTCCGTTTTGTTGTCTGACAGGTATTACAGGCAAATTTGATTGGTTGTTGACGAGGGATGAAGTAGTATAGATTCTCATTCTGTTCTGTTGTGTTCATTTGAGTGTTTTTGAAGATGTGCTTGTACGAGGAGCAGGCAGGCTTGGGTATATTTGGACCAGGGCCGGCCCCTTCACCTATAGTCGTAGAAATATTGGACTTGTATGAGTTTTACGGTAGGTACCCGAGCAGGGGGGATGTTCGAACCGCTGCAGTCAGCGATGTACGGCATAAAACCGGACTCGAGTACTATGACTTTTGTTTGGACCTTTACAGCTACCGTTCGGCCCAACGTGTTTCATTTGGCTTGCTTGGTTTAGGACTCGATCTCTAGTATTGTAGTAACCTCGTAGCCGTCGCCAGGACTTAGGGGTGGTGTGGTGTGGTTTTGACGGGTAGAGCATCAAAGCCGGAGTGATTATTCCGTGACGCACTGGTTAAATAGCTGGATCAAGAAAGTGAGAATCCTCTCTAACCGGATGACGTCGGCGCGACTGGGGGAACCGATTGTAGGAAAGGGGATGGGTTGTCTCTTACAACGATGGTAGTTGTGCCTCTCATCACTCATCATGCGCTTCAAGTGACCACTGTTAACAACCACGTGTTGACGTGAGTCTGTCTTATAATTAAGATGCTTTGATGAATCTACAGCGTGTATAGCCTCTGGACGAATGTGTTGTTGACTGTGTGTTTGGCAGTTCTCTGAATCCTAACGTTTTTTTTCAGTTTTTTAATTTCTTGTTTCGAATTTATTAATGTCAAAATAGTGTCACACTGATGAGTTTTCTAAATTCAACAACGGTAGGTGGGACAAGACCTCGGGTCCACTTGCCTGACCAGGCCAAAAAGATATTAAAAATATATATATATATATATATATACAGGGTCATCAGCCCGTACGTACGGAGGTCCCCGGGCAGACCTCCGTACGTACGGGCGTTTGGGGTCCCGTACGGGGTCCGAACCTGACGGCTCTCGGCCCCTGCCAAAACTTATTTCGGGGCCTAACAATAATTATTTTTTTCTGAATTTGTTTTTGTGAGTTCTCTATGACGTGAGGTACATGCCTGTAAATATTCAAGTCATTTCGCTAAGCCAAATAAGAATGAAAAATCGCCAAAAATGGCGGTGTCAAAACATGCTCGCCCACGTATTGTTTCACTTTTTACTTTTTGTTTTCATTTTAGTTCGGGGTCTTAACAATTTTATTATTTTTTTATACTTTTTTATTGGGTTTTGTATTATATGAAGTACACATCTGTAAAGTTTCAGGGCATTTAGGTATGCCAAAAAACAATGAAAAATCGCCAAAGATGGCGGTGTCGAAAACATCCTCGTGCACTCACTACATTTAATTCTTTTTTTTTATTTATTTATTTTTATTACTAGTATTTCTTCTCCATATTTTATTTTTATTTCAAAATTGGTAAGGAATTCGGATAAAATGCTTATGCAAATCTTGTTTAATTTATTTTTCTCCATAATATATCTTTTTTCAGATTTTTTTTATGAATTCTTTTTTTTTTTTTTTTTTCGGTCCGCGTTCGGCACGGACGGTCGAACGCATCCCCAAGGGGTCCCATACGTTCGGGCGTTCGGCCCGTCCCGAACGCTGGTTCCCCATTATATATATAATAGATATATATATATATTTTATTGACAATTTTATTTTAAATTTGGTAAAGAATTTCGATGTGACCCTGGTGCAAAAGTTGTTCAATTTATTTTTCTGCATAACACAGTTCTTTTCGGATTTTTTTTTATTTTTTTTTTTCCTTGTACGCCCGGGCCGCCTGGGAAAATGGGGTGACTCGGGCGGCCCGGCTGGCAGCATAGATTTCTTTTTCTTTTCTTTCCTTTTTTTTTTTTTTTTTTTTTTTTTTTTTTTTTTTTTTTTTTTTTTTTTTTTTTTTTTTTTTGCTTTCTGATTTCAGGTATTGGACGTAGAGAGTTGGTGCCGCTCAAAACGGTATACAGGGTTCCAATTCAGGGAAGAGGGTTTCGCGTTTTGCTTGATTGCTTCTTGTGTTTTTTTTTTAGTGTTGTGATAGATGATGGTACTTGTGTGTTTGGATGAAGACTGGTAATTAGGGTTGGTTGCAAGAGCTTTTGGTGGTCCAGGGCATTGGGCTTGACCGGTGATGTCTCCTCCTCTGAGAGGACCACTTTTTTTTCTTTTTTTTTTTCGGGGGGGGGGAAGGACGGCTAATATTTTTGTGAGAGACGCCAGGGTCTAAGAATTTGCCTTTCAGAATGTTTTAGTGAATTGGTTATTAGTAGTGATGGATTTTGTGGCGGGTTTTAGAAGCTCATTCGACACTCCTCGGGTGTGTAAAATCCCCGAGGAAATCATCGTTCCACTTATCCTCGGGGAAGAAAACGAAAAAAAAAAGTGAAAACATGTCCTCGGGGATTCCTCGGGCTACAGCCATTTCGACGCGTTCCCCAAGGGACCTCCCGAGGTCCCTTGGAGGCTTGGAGGTCGAGCATCCGGAAGAATCGGGGCATCGATGGCAGCTCTCTCGACGACAATTTTCAACGCGGCTGGTCCATTGTTGTTCCTGGCGACCCGTGGACGGACATCTCCGGTTGGTAACAGTGGGCTTCATGGAATACTCCCCCAACGGTCCCCTTTGGTAGCCTGCCGTCCTCCTCGACACCGAAAAGGGGCTGCCTTGCGTCGCTGCCCTTCAGCACTAGCGGGAAAGCGCCCAACGGTCGGCAGATTCGAATACTTCAGCCCGCCCCCGCTCTCCCAATTGCGCAGTGTCTCCCGCGACGGAATACGTTACCCTGCTTTTGTCGGTAGCTGTGATCGGCCGTTTGTGCCACTGACCCTTGCCGTTTCCAGGACGTCCACGGTTAACTTCTAGCTGTTGTCAGTTGGCGTTGTCCAAGTGCGTTTCATGGCCGACATCTTTCAGAGGCTGCCGCTGTTGGTGTTGGTCGTCCTCTTGCTCCTCCTCTTAGTTGTCTTCCACGTGTGCATCCTCGGCATCGTTCCGCAACGTGGCCGCAGCAGACGGTCTTCGAAGAAGGACGTCAGTATGGAGGGGCAGCAAGGGATGTGCAGGTCTGCAGGGGATCAAGGTGGTGGCCAGCGGCCTGGGCAGTGGGCAGAGCCCGTCGAGAAGTTTAAGGCCGTCGGAGCGTTCTGGGTACACGCACCTGCCACCACACTTGCAGCCTCTGTCGCACACGTCCGACGAGGAGGCGGAGGACAGACGCTCACGGACCGTGCCGCTGGAAAGCAGGTCCACCCAAGAGTGG